CCCTACACCTTATTATAGCAGGATGGAATTGGGCAAGAAGATTGGCATCCCCACACGGAGTCTTTGCCAGTGCTTGCACAGCCCTGAACTCAGTGTCATATCTATTGGGGGAAAGGGAGTGAAAAGTAGTATATACCACAGGGCTGCTGCAGCAGCAGCCACAGCAATAGCAATGATGCTTGACTTCTAAACCATGTAGAGGAAAGACTCTACCCCCTCCTCCGTGCTCTCTCCTTGTATTCATAATTCTTCCTTCCCTGCCCCTAACCAGCCATGTGTGCTACAGGAACTTTGCATGCCTTTAGGTATATGTCACAACCAGAATCAGTACACAAGCCAGAAGAAGACTCCTGATTTTCAAGGTCACAGTTTGGCTTGATGCCAGGGACACGAAACACACTCTCTCATGTGAAATGCACTTTCAATGTTAAAACACTTGGATTATATATGTGTACATATATGATAATGAAAAACTCACAATGACACAGCAGGATTCAAATGACATAATAGTGCAGAATAATCAAAGGGTAGAGAGCATGTTTACACCAATCATTCTGAGATCAAAATGTGCTTGTTAGGCATATCTACAAAGACAAAACTAGGCTTTATCTTACAGGCCAGGGGACAAGTATATGAGAGGCAAATGCATATATGTTAGATCCCTATCTTGTTTATGTTGCCTTCTCTTGATGAAAAACAGTAGATCTATTTTTCTATGGTGGAAATGCAGACAGCTCCACAAGTCAGGTCATCCCACAGCATCAGTTGGGTCCGCTTACATCCAGCTTAGTGGAGTCACACTCATTTGTTGAGGGCCTAGCATTAAATGGTGAAGTTTACTTCTTCTCCCCCACACATCAGTTTTATACAGGCAGTTCAGATTGTGAGCTGCAATGGAGCCACTTTTTCTTTACAAGCCTTTCGAAAAGACTTGGCCTTGCTTTGCTGGTGGTCATGAAACCATGCAAAAAACAATCTAGATGAGTATTTTAGTCATTAAGTTGTCAAAGACATACCTGACACTGTCCAAAAAGCACAGATTAACAACAAGTTCACTGAGGAAGGAGAAGCATTTGGTGGTCAGTAAAGAACAGACAGTGAGCAAGTTTCCTCAGAGCAGCAAGGATCTCCTTGTTCCTCATGCTGTAAATGATGGGATTCATTGTGGGGGGCACTACTGAGTATATGACACCCACTATGAGATCCAGTCCTGATGGGGTGCGGGAGGTAGGTTTTAAGTATGCAAATATAAGACAAAAAACAAACAAAGATACCACAACAAGGTGAGGGATGCAGGTGGAAAAGGCCTTATGCCGGCCCTGCTCTGAGGGGATTCTCAACACTGCCCTGAAGATCTGAATGTAGGATGCAATAATGAGAATAAAACAGCACAAAACTAAGCAGAAACTAAATAATATCAAACAAAGTTCCCTGAAATATGTGTCTGAGCAGGAGAGCTTGAGAAGCTGAGGGATTTCACAGAAGAACAAGTCCACCACATTGCCTCCACAGAAGGTCAATGCAAACATATTCCCTGTGTGAATGGCTGAGTTGAGCATCCCTGCTACCCACGCAGTGGATGCAATTTGGACACATGCTCTTCTGTTCATGACCATCTCATAGTGCAAGGGCTTGCAGATGGCAACATAGCGGTCATATGCCATGACAGTGAGAAGGGAAAGATCTGCTCCCACTAAGAAGTCAAAAAAAAACACTTGGGTGGCACACCCAGAGGAGGAGATAGTTCTGATGTTCAGCAACGAGTTGGCCATGGCTTTGGGGATGATGACTGAAATGGTTCCGACGTCCAGGATGGACAGATTCATCAGGAAGAAGTGCATAGGGTTGTGGAGATGGTGGTCAAGGACTACAGCCACGATGATGAGAAGGTTTCCAATCAGGGCTGTCAGGTAAATGACTAGGAACATGAAAAAATACAATATCTCCAACTCCCAAGCATCAGAGAATCTCAGGAGGATGAACTCAGACACAGAGCTTTGGTTGGACATTTTCTGCCTTGCAACATTGCAGGCGGCCTACAGAGGGAAAGACAGATACAATGGTTGTGGGTTTGATTCATCATATGATTGTCCACCTCAAAAACCTAGTGCATCTCCTAGGGACAGAAGCTTCCCAGATGTTCCTCAGTTTTCTACATTAAGTTCTTGCTGATTTCCATAGAAGGAATTGTGGTGTTATCAACACATAGTTAGCCTTGGCAACTCAAGTAGTTAAGGGATGGTCAAAACAGCATTTGGACTGTCAGTTTTTGAGGACAGAAGAGATCTGTATGGAGAGGAAGGAATAGCAGTCTCTCCATTTGACCAAAAGTGAACCACAGTGGCACCTGGGGCTAGATCCTGGTCTAGTCTGTTTTATTGACACCATTTTTTGCCATAAGTGGTCATAGTGAAACAAGAAGGAAATTTCCCTCCTTCTCTCTTACTGTTTATTTTAATTTCTTTTTTCACTGTTCTCAGTTAGTTCCCTCCATCAAGTGTCTGTCAGTTTCTGGTTACTTCTCTGTACCTGTCCTTTCTCTCTTCATCTTCTGCCCTTTATTTTGGATGGTAAGCACTGCTCTGCACCACTTCAGGACCACCCTGCAAGGAGGCCGTCAGTGAAATGTATTCCATATAACGGGACAATGTGCAAGGGGACAGAGCTTCAAAGTAGCTTTAGTTTGATTAGGCTCAATCCGCTTCAGAGGGAGGAAAGCCAAAGTGGAGTGCAGGTGCTCTGGTGTGATTAAAAAAGTAAAATCCTTTTTTAAATTTTAATGTGCCCACCTAACTCCATTTCCCCCTATATGTTCCTACTGGGCATGCTCATGCAGAACTTTCCCTGCTAGAATTACCCTGCATGTGCATAATAGTAGGAAAGTACTAACAAGTGAGTAATAGAAAATAATTACTACCAAGTGTTTGATCCTCCCTCTTAGCCCATGAAGTTAGTTTCTAGGTCATGTTATTTTCTTGCACAGAGAGCAAAACAAAGTGTGGTGTAGATCTCCCCCCACCCCCAAAAGAGGAACTGATACTGCATCTGCCACTATGCAGCCAAGTGTTCTAACAACAAGGTGATTGAAGTGTCACCCCAGTCTTTAAAAGTGAAATTAGCTTTGATCCTAAGTACATACACACTGATCTAATGAAGTTCAATAAAACAGCTATGGACATTAGTTCAGATTAGATGGATAGCCAAACAGAAAAAACAGAGAGACATAAAGACAGACAGATTCAAGTTTCAACAAGGGAGGCTTAGCTTAGGTTAGATATTAGGGAAAATGTTGGTATGTATTTATGTGTTTGTTTTTTTTAATTGCAGGGTATTAAAGCACTGGAACAAGCTACCTAGGAAGGTTGTGGAATCTCCCTTCTTAGAGATTTTAAAGACCAGAGCTGATAAAGCATTGGCTTGGAAATAGTTGACATAGTTGAGGATGGTCAAGCTTTGAGGAATGGTAGACTAGATGACCCCCTGAGTTTCCTTCCAATCCTAATTTTCTATGATTTTATATAGTCATAAAGACAGAGACAGAGGGACGTATTCATAATTTATACTCTTAGCATTTTTCTTCCATGTGCTCCCTGCTCCCTTCATCTTGCTACCTGTTTCTCATCTGCATGGCCTTAATTATTAGGGCCGTGCAAGGCTTTGGACCATGCTCCAGAGCCAGAGAAGATTTGGATGCTTTGGCATTTGAACCAGCATGTCTGGATTGAAGTGCTGGCTTCTTTAGGCTTTCCGAAGCGGTTTGGAAAAGCTTCGGAGCCGCTTCTAAGATCCGGCCATAGGGTATAATGGGGAATCAATGAAATATCTATAACTTTGTTGTTTTCTATACAATTTAAATGAAACTTGAAGAATGGTAGCTGCTGCTAAGAACATGAAGCCTACCAAGTTTCAAGAGGCTATCACTCCTGCAGTTTTCACTCCCCTGTGGTGTAACACATACCCATGACATGAGTTTTGCTTTCAAGAATTTGGGGTGCAGTTGCCCCCAAACCTCTACATTGATATTCTTGAAACTTGGCAGGTGTCATGTTCATAGCAGAGGCTACCATTCCTGGACGTTTCATCGAAATCAGAGAAAAAACAACAAAGTTATAGATATCTCATTGATTCCCCATTATACCCTATGGCTGGATCTCCCAGGTGGCTACGAAGTTTCAGAGCTGCTTTGGCCGGATCGAAGCAGGAACCAAATCAGAGCTCCAGATCAGACCACGGACATTTGAAGTGGCTGGATTCAAAGCTGGATTGAATAGCTGCCTACTCGCACAGGCCTATTAGTTATTCCTGTTGCCCTTATGTCTTTCACCAGAGAACTGACCTGGACTTTAAAATATCCCACGTATACTCTCTAACCCTGATTGCCAGCATTTAGGAATGATGCAGCAGTTCTTCTGTAGACTTCTTAATCCATTATAGACATCCCTGAATTATCCTTAATATTACTATCTCTTTCAATGAGACTGAACCGGGAGACAAACATTACAAAGATTACACATGAAGGATTAATGGCATTCCACTAAACCACCTAAAAACTTAATTTAGACATGGAAGCCACCAGAGTATCACAGGTAGACAAGCCCTCAATTTTCACTACTGAAAATTAATCTGACAACAAAAGTCTGGAAAAAAATACATCATGTCCTTGAATAGTTGGTCTTTAAATCAGTTTTAGGATGAGTAGATCATAAGAAAGTTGTGATGTAAGGGACCTAGTGAGGGCATCTGTCTAGCCCTCTGCTCAAGCTAGGATATCCTGACTAAAACATCTCAGCCAGAAGGAATTGCATCCCCATTTAAATTTCATAGTAGCAATAAAGCCAGCAGCAGAGTTACTGAGCTACTCTATGTGGATTCCCTCTTGATGAGGTGTCTTTCTCTTCCAAAGCCAGAGATCATTAATTCATTTGTTTGTTCATTCTTTCTCTACCCATATATGTATGCAGTCACGTATGTATACAGGTCTCTGTCTTTCTCTTTCTCTCTCTCTCCCTATCTATCTATGAATGTGGAGACCTGCCTTCAGGGGACATTTTAAAGTCTATCTCCTGGAAATATTCTGAGATCACTTGCTGTCTGAAGATGATTTGTGTAGATACCCTCTGGGCTGTGGAAGAGTATTTAGCAATACCTGGTGCAATCTGCTTCTAGGCAGGTAGTCTAGTTCCATGTGATGATGGCACCGAAATATTTGAAAGGGAAATGAGCTTTGACCACAAGTGTCTACACATGGGTCTAATGAAGTCCAAAGAAACAGCTTTGAACATTATTTCACATTAGTAGAGAAATAGACAGATTAGATAATCTATACTACCAGCAGTTTTCACCCACATGCTCCCTGCTCCCTTTTTCTCTCTTCCTCTCTTCTCATTTGCTCTGTTTTGCATGGCTTCAGTTATTCCTGCTCCCTTACATCATGCACCATTGAATTGACCTGGACTTTACAGTCCTATGTACACTCTCTAGCCCAGTTTACCAGCCTCAGAAGTGGTGTAGCAATTCTCCTTTAGACTTCTTCTTAATACATTGTAGACACCTGTGCATCATTTTTGTTTTTGCCCTGTCTTCCCACCAAACAGAACTGGGACACACTTTTTTTGCCTTCTGTTTCTAAAGTCAAAAACTGCCTTGGGGCACTTCATGTGTTCTCAGTAAAGAGCAGTATGAAGAAACAGATTCCTTATGCAGCAAAGTGTAAGTGCAGGGGGGTTTGCTCTACTGCTTTAAAGCCAAGTTAGAACTCCAGTGGTCTGAACTGAAGTAGCCTTAGTTTATTTTGCCTCAATCCATTTTAGATGGGAGGCAAGCCAAAGGGAAAGTGTCCACATAAAGGATTAATGAAGTTCATCTAAACCACCTGAAAACTAAATTTAGACTTGGAACTTGCCAGAGTGTCACATTTAGACAAGCCCCCAATTTTCACTACTGAAAATTCAAATGACAACAAAAATCTGGAAAGAAATACATACTGCCCTTGAATAATTTATCCTTTAATCAGACACAGGATCAGAGGGTCATAAGAAACTTGGGCTGGAAAGAACCTAATGAAGTCATTAGTCTAGCCCACTTCTCAAGATAGGATATCTTGACCAGACCATCCCAGCTAGAAGGGAATACATAGCTTATGTACTGTCATAGGAAGTAAAATTCAGCAACAGACTTACTGTGCTTTTCTTTGTGGATTCCTCCTTGTTGAGATGTCTTTCCTCTCGCAGGTCCTAAGTACTTCTCTCTCTCACTTGCTCTCTACGCATTTCAGGATATTTGCGTGTCTCCCTATCTCTCTTTCTATTCTCTCTATCTATGTATGTAGTAATCTGCCTTCAGGGGACATTTTAAAATGCTTCTGCTAGAAATATTCTAAGAGCACTTGCTGTTTGCAGATGATTAGTGCAGGTAACCTCTGTTTTGTGCAAGACTATTTACCAATGTCTCATCCAGTAGGCTTCCAGGCAGGTGGTCCCATGAGTCCTGAAGAATGCCCAACATACCCAAGTGGTATAAGATGGAGTGGAAAAGTACATGAAGCACCTGGCCTGGAGCCAGCAGTAGAGTTGGTTGGGAAATGTTCTGATGAGACAGCATTCTTCCCCCAAAAGCTGGTTGCCAATTCTCATGTATTTGGTTTGAAACACTTTGGGTCCAAGGCATTTTTCCTATATCCAAGGCAGGGTTCCCACACACTTCTAGGCCCCCATGCTCTTGGGCACAAAAGCCCAGTGCACTGCTCTGGATACAATGGTCCCAAGGCCTTTGGCCACACAGCCTCAGGCTGCTTGAGAGCATGGGATATGGTGTTCCCAAGATGCCAAATTCTGAAAACGTATCATCTCCTACATCGCTATCTCCAAGTTCACAGCATCCTCCCTAATGAACACTGTGCTCAGCTCTTTTATTCCCATTGCAATGATTCAATCCATAAGACATGGCCTTCCTTATTGTCACTGCATATGGCTGTTATATTGCCACCTTCATCCTTCTGTTAGGAGGTGAG